AAAATGGGGCTTTAGGATTCTATCTATCATTCTCTGGAATGTAGCAGGGGCACCATGTAACCCAAACGTTAACACCGTGCATTGAAACAAACCATCTGGGGTTGAGAATGCAGTTTTCTCTTTTGCTCGGTCAGTAAGTGGGACTTGCCAATAACCTATTGTTGTCAAGTAACGTGCTTTTCCTAGCCTTTCAATTAACTCATCAACTCTAGGCATTGGGTATGTGTCAAATTTTCGAAATACAAAAACTACACCACTTGCCATCTCAGCAGCACAGGCCCTTACTTACTGGTGCCTGTTCAATGGAGCCTGCCTTATCCGCAGCTAGACCTCACTATGTTCTCTCCTCCATCCCACTTGTATCTCCGCCATCCTGTATAATCTCCTGCTCGGAGGGTTCATCAGATCCCTCTCTCCCCAGACACTGAAATGTCTCCCCCCCTCATTATATCATTTCTGATTCCTCTAATATATCTATTCAGCTCCTCCATTATCTCCCTCTCATACACAGCCGTCCTCTTCCACCATCCCCTAGGTTGCCTCCCATACACTAGAGGCCAATCTGAACTTATCTAAGGCTCTGGCAGGTGACGGCCACTGCTGTGGGCGGAGCTACAGGAGGAGTCCTCTGGGCAGTCACCAGCCAACTACATTAGACCCCACCTGGAGCTCCGCCCACAGCAGTGATGCGACGCTCCTCCAGCCTGCCCAGAGGACCCCAACCCCAGCCACCACGGAAGGTAAAAAAAAACAAAACAGCGCAAGCTTCGGCGCTAGGCATCGGGGCATTTTGACAAGTACAAGTACTTGTCAAAATGCCCTGTATCGGGCCCGATTCCGATGCTAGCATCGGTATCGGGACATCCCTAGTACTAAGAATTGTTTAACAATAGCCAGGCTCTTGTTTTCTACCCTGTAGATTAAATCATCAACTACTTCAAAGTGAGGGTAAGGTAAGGGAATTTCAGGTTGGTTAGCAAAACTGTTTACCACCTTGATATTCTTTCTCGCTTCTAATAAAGTAGGGTAAAATTTGTCCGGCCAAAAAAAGTTGACAAATGGATCCGTCTTTAACGAATATAATGCAGTAGATCCCACATGTCAAACAGATCCGCCCCTTGACGCGTTTTTGGCCGGCCGAATTTTTTAAGATTTTGATGTAAGTTGCTGATTTAATAAATCTAAATATTTGTTGTATTGCACCATGAGAGTGTTTTGCTATTAAACCCTTTAACGCACTCCCGGATAGTGAGAGCTGAGGGACAGCTGAATTTGAGCTGGGAGAAGCCGCGGTATAGTTCAACGGGGAGCCAGGGGGAAGCGTCGTCCTTTGGGGAAAGGCGGCTCCTTCTATATGGGCTACATCAGCTGGAGAGCGGATCAAATTGGGAAGTGAGTTTGAGGACCAGCAGATTTTTTATTCAGAGGGGCTTTATATACTCACTATATCTGGGGAGTACCCATTTTTTGGGGGGTTGTCGGGCACAAGAGAGAAGATCACGGAATAATTCATTTCACTGTTTAGATGTACATTATTGAATTCATTTTTTCATTTTTTCACTGTCACTGGATATAACCTTTTACGGAGACTGTTTCAAAGTACCACTTTATATTTAACACTTAGTTCATGGATTGATACACTGTGGTTGTTTTATCCACTTTTCTGGACTGATTTGTTTTGTTCTTTAACACTTACTATTGAGATTAAGTTATTTTGATTTTACCGCAAAGGTTTTGATTGGTTTAATTTATTATACCACTACTTATCACATTAACACAGTGTTTATATTTATTTATATGTTTGATGAGGTTTATTCACATATTCACCCTCAGCGCTGTGTTTTTCCATTAGCATAACCTTCATTAGTCGTGTCTTTTCCAAGTGATGTCTGAGCTGACTTCTTAGTTAATGCCTATAATTGACAGAATTTGGAGAAATCTGTTCCCAATACCACCTCATAGGCTAACTTAGGTATTTACCCACTCGATAATTTAAGGTTATTCTGCATTGTTGTGTAATGTATTTCTTGGAATTGTAGTTCTCTATAGCCAATGCCATTCTGCAATGCTGTACAATGTATTTCCAAGTTAGTGGCAGAACTACCAGGGTCGCAGCAGTCATGCACCCGCACAGCCCTGACGAAGCATCCCTCCACTACCAGTGTGCTTTACATTTCCTAAACCGATCAATACATTCACACTACTGTTACATGGATGGCAAAAGTGGCAGACGGGCAGGGAGAATGCGGGGAAGAGGCAGAGCGGGAGGGGGGCCAAGTTGCTGCACCATGGGCCTCTGGGTTGTACTTGCCCCCTGGGCTAAAAGTTGCCAGTCAGCCCCTGTTTAAGGTACCACACTGAGTTTCAATACAGACGTCAGTAGTAGGGTATTCACGCTTATCACCATGAACACAAACAATTCCCATTTTCTGCACTCCTGGAACTGTAGATTTGGCAAGTTATTACTGCCCTTATACTTTTGAAGAGTCTTACCAGTTCTTGTAGAGATCTGAGGTCTGGAACCACAAGCTTATTCAGTTGAAGCTGGATGCAAAGCCTCTCCTGCAGTTATATATCTCTCTACCAGCGCAATCCTTGCTGAAAACTGTCCATTACCAATAGTTCCACAATTTGGCTTGCAGTATTAACCTCTGGCTGTAGCCACTTCCGGGCAAAGTGAATGAGGTCAAACATTTGTAAATGCACTGCTTTGTCAGGTGCGTATATCCAAGAGTGGAATCTTTGTGCACGCACTGCAGAAGTCACTCCTAGTCATGCAAGGATTCCAGCTTTCAGCTTAGTATAGTCACTAGCTTACGCTGGCTCCAACTCATATTAGGCCTTTTGTGGTTCCCCACTCAGAAATGGTGCAAGTATGCTTGCCCATGGAGAGAATCAGCGGTGCCATGAAGCCAGCGTTAGAGGAAACGAGGTGGCATCAGAGGGAGTAGAGCCGATGCCTCCTCTATAGCGACGGCTCCTGTTACAGGTGATACCAAGTGTGATACCAAATGCACTCCGACTGTGAGGAATCGATAGTGAAAGTGCGCTTCACTCATTCTGGCCAGCGATTGGTTTGCAAATTGCTCTTGGAAAGGTACGGCACCCCTGATTGCTCTGATCACCATATTTTTGTACATGAATACATGTAGACTTTTCTACATGAATAAGTGTGGATTGTTGTACATTAAAAAATAAATAAATAAGACCAACCCCGAAAATAAGACCTAGTGTGTTTTTTTTGAGCCAAAAAAAATATAAGACAGTACCTTATTTTCGGGGAAACACGTTATTACATACATACATACACAGACCTGAGTCATCCCAGAGTCCCATCTCTTCAATTGTCCCTTACCTCGTCCAGCAGGGGTGCAGTAGTTAAGCAGAGAGCCTGGAACCACCCACCCGGCTTTATAAAGTGAGCACACAACTATTTCACCAAAGGAACTGATTCCTTACAAACCAAGTGCTACCTGTCTATCACATAGGCTGATTGCCGTAGTCTACTGGAAGCTGTGCTGCCCAATTAAGTGGAGTACGCATCAGCAAAACAACGCAACATTTGGAAGCACCCAGTGGGTAGCGTTGTGGTAACAAATCAAGAAGAGGTGTTTGTTGGCAGGTTCAGCGGGTATTTTCAACATTTCTATACACAATGATATGTAAAGGGCATACAGGGAATGACGTCTAATGACAGAAGGAAGCTATTAGGGTAAAGTTAGTATTTGGGTTTGCAAACACAGGCAACTCCTAAGACTTCATTTATAAAACTTCCTGTACTCTTCATCACCACATCTAGGGGTGCTATTGCCATGCAAACAGCAGCCGTCCAGCCATATATCCATTTTTATACTTTATATTTAGTTTTATTTATATTTATTTTACACTTTTTTGTAATATCTTTAATTTTTTACTGTAACTAGAGAATGATACAGATCTTATCTTGATTGTATATAGATATATTTTATTACTGAATCTTGAATGTGTTCCTACAACAAGATTGATACATATATATGTTTTAATATGTTTTTGATCTATTGACTTTGTAATCTAACTGATCTCTCCCTATGAGGGTGAACACATCCGCCAATCACCGGGGATCCTACCAGTCATTAAGGAGTCCTTAAAAATGAGGATTAATGGTCTAGTTATAACCTGGCTTAATTCCTTAAGTACCTTGGGGATTCCTTAAGTACCTTGGGGTACTTATACTTTCTATATTACTGATATATATAGTACTGGTCATAATTTCTATGTTATCCTCTTCTAGCGCTGAGGAAGGTGAACCACATGGAGTCCCCAATATGTTGGCTTTTGTGAATCTTTTGTGAAACCAGTAAAATTCTATTTTTGGGCTTTAAAAAACATGTCTGCCAATTTCCTCATCACAAACCAGTTTAAACGAGATACAACACATTATACTACCATCACTCCTTGGAAAGCTGCCCAAAAGAAAGAGACGTACCCTTCAGCCTTCATACCTGGGCTATAGATCCAACTGGAATAACTATTTGTAACAATAGTCCTGTGTCCCACACCTCCTCCTATTTGAGAATAAAAAAAACATGTCAGAGCTTCTAACCCTTCCCTATATCTATCCGATACTGAAAAAAAATACCTTTACATACACTTTAATATTAACACGGTGTGATAGTGATAGCTCACACCAGATATAGCAAAATCACTGCATGACCATATCTGACATTCAGCTAATTTACCTAAGATAAATACAATATTGTAAGACCCTTTATTATTTTATCTCATGATAATATGTCGTAAAAATGTTTAATTCAAAAATTGCTTGCTAGTATTTAGTTTTACATCCAAAATCGATAAAGTAATTTGTACGGGAAAATAGGACAGGTGCAGAAAATTCAGCTGATCCATGGCAAATGTAAACTACACATGTTAATAGAAATGCGCGCACTATGCTTTGGTGAATTGATCTGATCGTTACTCAATTGCAGCTATTCATTGGTGCCTTCTCTTCTTCACTCCAGTGAGCTTGAGCTGACAGTCCACTGTATGAAGGGGGTGGGAGAAGAGAAACAAGAACTATGCAGCCTCACGCAGCACCTACACAAGACAATAGAGGTGAGCCCTGCACTGGATCCCTATCCATCATCAGATAATAAATAACTGGCTCTTCTGGGAGTCTTAAAGGGAACGTAGGGTACATAAAAGGTAAAAGAGGTTAAAGCAAATCAATTTTAACATTTTAAACTCTTTTGTATGTACCATTTATTTTATATATACAAAGGAGAAAGCATATGCTGTTATTACATACACAGGCTCCGCTTCCTGCATTGCAATACTAAACAATGGTTGTGCTTCACTGCTCTTTCTCACAATGTAAAGGTGCCCATACACCTTACAATTTATCTGCAGATTTTCTGTGCTCAGATGTAAAAAGTGCAACAGATTGGCCCAGGTGGAGATTACTCCATCCACACAGTTAAGTGTAGATGGAGGAATCTGTTGCACCTTTTCCATCTGACCACAGAAAATCTGCAGATAATTGTAAGGTGTGTGGGCAGCTTAAGTCTTTAAGTCAGCTGACTCAGTAAAACAACACTCTCCTGGTGTGGCTGGAGTTAGGCCTTTAAGTGTCCCTGTCAGTTCTCCAGTGAAATAAAGACGGTAGCCTCCTGTAAGAGAAGAGGTAATATACTTACCTCCGGTGGCCTTTGACTCCTACTGTCCCTCCATTCCAGTGCTGCAGCCTCCAGCTTTCAGCACTTCAAGGAGCTGCCATTTTGATTTCTTTTAAAGTTAAACTATGTGATAAGCTAATATATTGTCTACATACAAGAGACATTTTGTATTCTTACTTGAATCTTGGTGTGCTTTCCGTATTTCTTCCAGGTCTGTGCAGTAATCCAGTGTGACGCTTTACTTCTGTGTCACAGTTTTTGTAATACAGACCAGTTACTGTTGCTCTCTCTCCTTGTGCACGGTGACAGGTCTTGTATTTGCCCCCTTTTGTAGTTTTCTGCCGACTGCCTGTAATGGGTGGGGCCTGCTGTGTCCCTCCCACAGTTTTGCTCTGTGCGGCACAGTGATGATGTCACTGCTACTTTTTTTTTTTTGGGTAATAACTGGTCTTGCAAAGACATTTGGTGCGCACACTGTGGATTTAAATCCTTTGTGGCTATTGAGAAATGTATTTATAATTTGTTGGGCCCGGAGTCCAGCTTTAAAGACATGACAGTGTACGCAAATGCCATGACTCAAATATTCAAACTCAGAATATGCATTTACTGAAAATACCCTATGCAACTGGCAACACACATTATATTGCTTTATGTTATTTTTTTTTGTTCAGTTTTACTTCTAAGTTATTGTGATATTTCTACCTTTTTAGCCTAAACTTATCTGATTATACAATGTCATTGTAATGTGTGTAATAAATGTACACACATTGATGAAAGAAAAAAAATGTTCATGTATTAATGTTATCATTGGAGCCAGCAAAGCACTTCATCAATCAGTGGATCACAAGAGCAATAAACAGGCTTCTACAGACATTTCCTCCCAGTGCCTTCGGTTATGGGGGCTGGAGGAAGTTATCAATGGGCTACAAGTGTGGTGACATCACCGCAATGTCACCACAACATCCACAAATCGGGGGCAGACGCACCCTGTGATTCAGGTAAGTGGGGATTGTGACTGTTTCATGTTGCATCCAAAAGGTGCACTTACCCTTTAAATGGCTGCTTCATTGAATCTGTATGCTTTTATTGCAAGTTGAGACTCACCTACATTATCATTGGCAGGAGCTGTCTGTAGAGAAGCAGAGGACCATAGCCAAATTGGAAGCCAGCCAGGATCACCCCCAGTCTTCGGCCAGTTGCAATGATCATCCTAGACAGGGTCTTCATGGTAACCTGCAACAGATTGAAAGCAAGATGCAGGTGTTACTTGAGGAGAAGCTTCAGGCTGAAACCAGGTGGGACTATTGTATTGTGCTTCAAGACCCATGAATGTACATAAAGCATGTCATATGGCCCAACAAACCCAATTGCTAGCCATACCAAGGTCTCAGTCAACTGACTTTTATTTGCTAAAAACAAGTTTTGCACTTCCATATGGGTGTTTGAAGATGGCCAAATGCAAGTTCAGAAAGAGGGCAACTGTAGGTCAAATGCACCTTTCAATAAATTCTAAATGATCCTAGAAGCATCTCAAACTGAATATCAATCAGGTACATTGATACAAACCTAAAGCCCTTTGGCACAGGCCCTTAGGCAAAGTTTATTCTAAACAGAGTTTTGTTGCGCTTACCTTTGAGTCCTATATCCAGCAAACTCCCCGTTATCCAGCATCCACAGGGATTGGTAGATTCCGGATTAATGTAGTTTCTGGTTGCTTGAGAGCTACTATTAAAATAGGTCTAACTAATGCCATACCCAATACTATACCATAGCATAAACTCTGTATTGACTTCATATTAATATTGAAATACAGTAATCAAAAGCAAATTAAGACAAATAAGCACACGATCGTTTCCAGGATAATACATGCCGCAGATCAGCAGAACAGATTTTTATTTCTGGTTAGATGAGAGTTCTGGTTAGTTGAATAACGGATAACAGAGCGTTTACTGTATATAGAGGAGGGAGCAGTGTAGTGTTACTATGTGAACACAGAAAAGAAGAAGGATTCATGCAGAAACAAAGTTGTAGTTTCATTACTCGCTGATTTCAACAAATGAACACAGCTACATATTTATTGAAGCTGATCTCTGGGATTAAACAAAACTTTCTTTATTTGTACATCTGTGCAGTAATCCAGTGTGAAACTTTTACTGTATGCAGGAGCTTCCTGTAATAAAGACTGGTCATGGCTGCTTTCTCAACTTGTGCAGGGTGGCTGGTCCTGTATCTGCCCCTTCCTGTAGTTTTCTGCAGGCAGCCTGTAGTGTGTGGAGCCTGATGGTACCCTCCCACACATTTGCTCTCCTGTCTGCACAGGATACATATACCACAGTGATGATGTCACTGCTACTTTTATATGGTTATAGCTGGGTTTGAAAATGCATTTAGTACAATAAAATATATTTATATCCTTTGTTGCTATAGAGGAATATATATTAATGAATGTTTTTGTCTCCAGAGTGAAGCTTACAAAATCATTATATGCAGATATCTAGGGGTCTATTAAACAATGTTTTACCCAAGAGTCACATATTTTTCAATTAAAAATGTGTGTGAAATGATTAATAAATAGACCCCCCAGTTATAGTAAATCAAACACAACTGGATTTCCTAATTGATCTTGAAAATGTTTTATGATTTATCCATCTACTGCAGCTCATCTGATGGAAGGGAATTCATAAGAATATACACCTCTAAAGGAGAACTATGGAGTTAAGGCTTTTCCCCATAGTTCTCCTTAGGGTAATGGGAGGACACAAACTAGCGTCCTCCCGTCACCCTAGGCTCAGTATACCGCGAGCTGTAGCTCGTGGTATACTGAGACGCCGCAGTATACCGCGAGCTGCTGCTCGCGGTATACTGAGACGCTGCAGCTGAAGCGGATCCCGACAATTATGCCGGGATCCGCCCAGCTGCGTGACTGACAGCTGGCTCTGCCTATCTAGAGGCAGAGCCAGCTGTACCCGCCCCCTCCCCCGTCCGTTCCGCCAGTCAGCGCTGGCGGATCGGAGCGGGGAGGGGGGAATCCAGCCCCTCCCCTGTCACGGCAGAGAGCTGTGACAGGATCGAGAGGTGAGCGAACGCCGGTATGTGTTCGCTCACCTCCCGATCTACTGAGCCGACCTTTGACAGTCTCATTGTCACAGGTCGGCTAGAACTATGAGGTGAGTAAAAAGCACTCATCTCATAGTTCTCCTTTAAGGATAGTTCAGTCACTGTAATCCATTATAGATGACGGCTATAGAAAGGTGACCAAAAAGCTTTTTTTCTGTAATTCAGTAGTGCTTCTATAGTGATTGAGGTGGAATGTTTCTATGCACTTTGTACTATGCAGTCACTTTTCCGATGGGAAAAAAAAGATTCTAAGATATGTAATGCTAAACAGGTATAAGGAATAGCTCGTATGTATCAACCTGCAATCTCTTTGCATGATGAGAACCAAAGCTCATAGAAGTTTCTTACATTGATGGACTTAATTTGCCAATAAAATATATCTATATCTTCTTTTATACTCCTAGGATGAAAGAAAATCAAGAGCGATTTCAAGTCCTGGAAGAAGAACGGACATTCTATATCTCTGAGTCTCAGGCCCTGCAGACATCTCTAGCTGAACTCAGTACTGAGAAGGAGCAAACAGAGAGAGAACTTAAGGTAAAGAAACTGCTAGTATGAGCTGGATGAGACTCCATTGGGGCTGTTCTGCTTGGCTGTAGCCTTTTAATTTTATAATGCAACACATAGATCACTAAATAAATGTGATTTAACAGCATTTATCACTTCCTCTTGTCTCACACTGGCAACCAACAATATAAAAAGTGTTGACTGTTTGACAATATCCACTGTATTTTTACAATAAATTCAGATTTTAATACTATCTGGCCAGGTTGTCCTGCTGTGCAGGACATGTAAATGATTGGTTTAGATGACAACTACATCCAAAGCATAAAAATGGCATCATGTATTGTGTAAACGAGATATTCATTACTTACTGTGTACAACTGTGTAGAGGCTGTACAAAAATGAGATGTTTGACATAAGGTATATGTCACACCAGTGTGCATTTTATTTCTTGGTATGAACAGCCATTCAAGACATAATGGGGTGCTGAAATCTTTATAGTGTAACTCAAGCCAAAACCTTTTTAGTTTTAGATAGGGTTGGGAAGACTAAGAACCTCAGGTATGATTTTTTTTCCACACAAGAGGGATTTCCCTTACTTTTCTGACCCAGTGCCACTGTTGTCGTCAGGACAGGAATAGAGGGGAAATCTCTTCTATAAAATATATAAATATTCCAATAAGAGCATCAAAGCAATGTCCAAGAGTCCAAAATCTTTCAATGATAAAATTTGTTCACAACTAAAATTATACAAAACAGTCAACATGTTGTGGGGGCCAGACAAACTCCCCCTTCTTCAGGGCTCTAATTTAAAATGATATGACTGGTATAATTATTATTGTTATTATACAGGATTTATATAGCGCCAACAGTTTGCGCAGCGCTTAATATAAGGGAAGGTATAGTAACCAAGGATAATTTTTAGTGGTGTGCGAGTCGAAGGTTGAAGCGTTCTATGACTTGCAGATCATTACATTGTAAAATGATTGTATATGAAAACCCTGAAGAATGGCAAGTTTGATCGACCCCAGAAATGTGTTGGCTGTTTTTGATTTTTTGTTGTTGCTTTTTATCATGAAAAAATTTAGGACTCTTGGACATTTGCTTTGGTGCATGTAAAAATGCCATGTTTTTGAGATATAAAACAAAATCAAAGATAAATCACTGCAGAATGTTTTTGCCACCTTTAATGTGACCTACAATCTTTGCAATTCAATTGAAAAACAAACTAAAATTGTTTAGCGGGGGGAAAAAATAAAATAATGTGGCTGTATACGTGTACACACCATCTTATTTCCCTCTTATTTCCCTTGCAATGTGAACCGCCTGCTTACCTTTAGTAAATGATGAGAATTGACACTTTCATCCACCATAAAAAATCTCTGGAGGATACATTAGCTCACTGTGCCCAGGACTTCAGACATAGTAGAAATACCAGTCTAATCACAGTATAGAGTTTTAGTGATCTCAATACACAAAAAAATTTCACATGCCAGATATTCTTCTGTCACACACAGCTGCAGTTAAAGGTGAAGTTAGACCTGGAGCGAAGACTGCGCGAGGCCGAGGAAGCTCTGCGAAGACTGGAAGCCAGCCTGAATGCCACTGTCTTAAACCAGGACAAGGAGGAAAAGATGAGAGCAGATGTCAGTCATCTTAAAAGTAAGTATAATCATATAGCCAGGAGATGGACTTCTGCCGTTTCTCGCTTCACTCTTTTGAATTCTGTTCAATAAATATATTTTTTTAACAGAAATGGGGTTTATGCAGTTCAGAAAACATTAAATCTACAGGGAGACATCAAGATGTAACTTCCAAAACCCATATCAATGTGAAACCAGGCTTACATATACATGATTTTGATATGGAATTCTGTTTTTGGAAAGTGTTGGTTTAAATAGCAGAATAAAAAGTAAGGCTCTTTAGATTGTGGCCGACAGCTAAAAGATGTTTTAAGAAATGCAAACATGAAAGCTGTGCAAAAATGCATTCTGGATAATGTGGGTTGCTAGTATAGGAATTTGTTGAATGAATGTACTCTTTGTGGTCATTTAAAGGGCTTTAATTAATATACCGAAGACAGTTTACTATTCTGCTAACTCATTTATGAGATATAGTAGAGAAGATGATAGATTGGCCAACCAAATCATATACAATCACACTACTGAAATGGGGAAAAAGGTTCAGCTGCAGATTCTTGCAAAAAGAATTACAGGAGGTTCTGGACAGCTGCAGCTGCTCAGCCTATACAAAGCAATGACAGGTTGACAGCGTTTGACAGCTGTCCATCATTGTTTAGATTTAATCGCAAATGAAGGTATTACCTGCAGTTAGGCACCTTTGACATAAGTTGATTAAAAAAATTACTTTTGTGGAGAAGGTCTGTGCAAGCAGGGCCACCCACAGATCAATTTTGGCCAATTCAGCAGGAAACTTCTGGAACTCAACTTGTGTATGGCTAGCTTAAGGGCTTCCTTAAAGGTGGAGAAAGCAGATGATTGTGATTTCATGATAACAATTGCATTAGTATACATCTGCTTCTTCATTGTCCAATCACAGGCGGGGGTGCGTACTTTCTGGCACTTGTACCTGGGTTACAAGTCTTACCAAGCAGAATTACTAATCTTATGGCAGGTGAGGAATCGTATAGATGGGTCTTGTTTTCCTGCATTTTACGTGTGCTTGAAGTGCACCTCAAACGCATGTCTGCATTTACTGTAATAATGTAGTGTGGATGAGGCTCAACCGTGCATCAACAACACTTGTCCCTATACCCTAAAACAGTTCACGATTATATATTTCCACTATAATTTTAGCTATTTGCCTGGAGTTAAGTTAAAAAAATTACAGATACTTATTCCAGTCTTAGGTGGCAGCAAATACTCTCCAGATGCCAATAACTCAGCACAAGACAAATTTTCCCTTCATTTATGTCTGTTGCAATTAGTAAATTTTGCTGCATGTGGCTGGATTTCACCAACACCTGAAAACTGCAGTACTGGCACATTTATTGAAAAACATTGCTGATCTCTGCACATTGGGAGCTATTCTGTGCTGTATGTCTCCTGGCCATGGTATAGCTGGTAATAGTTGGTCACATGTATATGACCCTGTTATGTAATGTTGAAGACGTTTCTTAGCTTCTCCAAGCCACTTCTTCATTTCTAATGAGTGTCAGGAAAATACCCCAGCATTTATATCCATACAGGTAGCACAGACATCTCAATCCAATCACCATGAGAAGGCAGATCTTAATGTTCAAGAACATGGTGGGAGGTATAAAAGTTGTGGAAACACCCAGGCCACCAATTGGGGGGTACGGCCGGTCCCCCTGTACTGGGCCCAGGCTACATTGGGGCAACAGACGGGGCCTGGGTTCGGCTTTGAAGTAGTGGATCTCAGGGTCCTCCCCCGCAGCTGTAAGGGAAAACCGCCTGTCTACCTAACCCATTGGCTGCCCCTGACTCTATAGTGACAGCCAACCTCACTGGCCCCTTGAGCATTCATATCATTCATTGGTCATGCTGTGGGCATAAAGGAGGGAGTCACAGACTTTCATTAGTCTGGGGAGCCGTCTGTTAGACTTGCACCAGTCCCGCACGTGCCTCTCGCTCGGCAGCTCAGTGGGTGGCAGAGAGCGACTGGGGCTAGCTGAGCTGAGTCACCTGGGCAAGGGATGTAAATTTGTCCCCCCCGCTGAGTAATGGGGAAGGGCCCCAAGGCTTGACCTGTAGATATGTAGTGTGGTCACTTCCCTGATTGGCTGACCCAGGCTTAGATAAACTGTGTGGGACCCAATGATTTCTTATGGTGGCCCTGGGAATCCCTCAATCATAGGTACTTAATCCCATCGTTGGTGTCAGGAAGGCTTCATAGGTGATAATCCTGAATTGTTCTCAAAATGCCAGGGTAGAGATTGGGCTTTTAGTCAACACATAAACAGTGGACAATAACATTATGCGTATGTGGGAAAAAGGCACAGAATACATTTTGTTACATGTCAAGTTGGGGGATGACTTGGACATTGAGGTCTACAGGAAACACACAAACCAGCATCTGCTTTTTGACTCCCACCACCGACTGGAATGCACACTGTTAGAAATCTGCATCAGCAGTCAGGGAAGGTAACAACAAGCTCGGAATCTATATACAAAAAATACAGACATTCCAGGAGGGCTTTCAAAATGTTGGGCTACTCGGCCTGGGCTTTTGTTAAAACATCCAGAAGGACAACTGGAATCACAAGCTTGTACACATAGAATATTGAACACCCAAACACAAGCAAAGTAACTTGGTATATGTGCTACAGTGTAGTGAGGAATACAAAGACCTGTATATTGGCGAGACAAAAGCAACCTCTCAACAAATAAATAGCCCAACATAGGCAAAGTCTACTGGTGAAGACTCTACTGGTCAAGACTGGCCAAAGAAGTTTACCTACAATTCACATTCTCTTGAGCAAAGGAAGGCGCATGTTATGGACAGATAGGACAACTGGTTTGCAAAGAGGTATGAAAGAGGCCATCTACGTCAAATTGGAACAACTATTCCTGAACAGGAATGAGGGCCTTTGACACAATTTTCTTCTAGATATAAAGCCATTTCAGCATCTCTACTCTTTTCAACAATAATTCACACCTCTATCCATGTAAATCAAACGATTAATACCTATGAAGCCTTCCTGACACCAAGGATGGAACAGTATGGTTCCACAACTTTCACATCTCCTTTCCTCTTTTTTTTTTGAACAATAACATCTGCCTTTTCTTTGTGATTGGATTAAGGTGTCTGTGCTATTTGTGTGGATATAAATCTATATTTTCCTGACACACTTTAGAATTGAGGAAGTGGCTTAAGTAAGCTACAAGACATCTTCAACATTATAGAACAAATCCAGTTGAATGTGACTAACTGCTATGAGCTATTCTGTGCGTAAAAGCTGTAATGCACAAGATCTTCCAGAAGATGGTACCAGAGTACGGGAGCAGATCAAACACCAGCTACAGAACTATAATGCAACTTCTAGCAGCTTCTATGGCAAAAGTGATACAAAGATTGCATAAAAATTTAGCATTTTCCAGTTTAGCCAACATTTTAAAATGTGTTACAAATGTTATTCTTTCATTTAGCCCATTAATCATGACAATATGATCATGTTTCTGGTACAAGGCCTTGAAAAGTTATTTACAAAAGAAATTTTTTTTTTTTTTCCTTCAATGCACTAAAAACACTGCAACACTATACACTTCAACACTAAACAAACATATAAAATAAAGGTGATAAATAAAAGGTTATAAGAATCTTAAACATGTGGCAAAAACAAACTAGCTAAGGAGAAATTAGTTCATTAGGGATAGTTAGGGTTAACAAAGAGATAATAAGACATAAAAAAGATTTTCTACTAAAATAAAATAAATGTTTAGAATTTTATTTAAATAAAATAAACTTTTTTTTAAATTCAGGTTTACTGCAACTAACAAAAATAGTGTAAAAAAACCACCTATATTGTAAACAGGTTTGCCTGACATCTGAAGGTAACAACAGTGTAACCGTAATTTACATTGTTGTTGGCTTTGGTCACTGTAACATGCTGCTACATCAGTTAGTGAACAGAGAGCTGCAGACAGTTATTCTATACAGACAAGGAACTTGGCTTTCAAAAAGATATTGGGCTACACATGCCGAAGCAGCATATGTCCTATGCCAGGGGTAGGCGATAGCTGCACTCCAACTGTGGCGAAACTACAAACCCATTATGCCTCTACCTCTGGAAGTCTTGCAATTCCTCACAAAGTTTTGAGCTCCACAGCAGTTGAAGTGCCCAGGTTGCCTTCCCCTGTCCTTAAACGTCTTATAGAGTACTGTAGGGAACCTCCTTGAGGAACTGTAATATGTAATTTCTGTTGAAAGCTGGGCCCTCCCTTTTCCCACATTTTCCTATTGGCCCATTACTAGACAATAGAACCACGTGGGAGGCTGGAGAAGGGTGGTCATCTCCAAACACAAAGAAGAACACTACCCACCATCTTGTTACCACTGTCATTGACTTTTCCTAAAATTAATACTTTTACACTACCAGGCACACCCAACACCCTATACAACGTACTTGGGCATAGCGTTTGGCTGAGCACTGAATTGTGGGAGGAATGTCACATACCCCCCCCCCATATTTGGAAGTAAACCCTATGGCAGTGGGGAACAAGGGGGTTAGCAGCAGCACACAAGTTTATTTTAAGCAAACCCTATTGAATACAACATTGTGGTGGTGATGATGGTGTTGTTGACGAAGGTGGAAATTGTGTCATAATTGTATTTTGAAATTTTCCTTCAGAATTTTTTGAAGATTGTATCAGAAATGCTGAGATTGAAGCAATGAAGCCTGTAATTATGAAAAACTCAGTGTATGTGCCCCGAGCTGCTACCAGGCGAATCAAAAGTTGCCGGTTTCACCACCAACGACCCAGCTTCTCCCGATGTGAGTTAAGGGCTTTTTTCACTTGTGTTTTTCCATCTACTAAGTGCCCTGTGTAACTATCCAGAGCTATATTTCCATCCAAAGCTAAAGCATTATGTAACTGCAGCTACCAGCATGCCCTTAAATCGAGTGTGACCTGTTTTCTGAAAGCCTTGACGTTTCATGACTATATTCAGCAACAAGGGTTAAATTGCTATAACAGATTCATTTTACTATTAGTAAAGCACTCCCAGAAATTAGTTTGATATTAACTGTTAGGGCCCATTCATACTAATGCACTTTGTCAGTGCATTTGTGTTAATGTGTGTTATGCCATGCAATAATGTACATTGAGTTAGGCCGACTCATTCATTTGAATGGGCTGCCTAATGCACCATAATGCAACAAAGGAGATGCATGTAGCATCACACCCCATATTAATGCGTTGTCACTTGTTGCACTGTGCTGTAATGCACATCCACCTGGTGCATTGGAGTGCCATCAAAAATGAATGGCACATTGCATCAATGCTTGTAATGCGCGTTACTGCACGTTGCCGTAGAACAAGAGTCTGCAGGGAGCCACATCAAAGGTAGATGAGAGGTACAGATGAGCCATGGGTTTGGGCCCAGTTTGCCCAGGTTCGCACAAGCCTGCTCAAAACTGTGACTGCCACTCCCTTGTCCCTCCCAATTAGTGGCAGCAATTGTGGCAGGGGTATTCTTTGTCCCTTTGTGGATCGGGCCAGGGGAGGGGTCGACAGTCAGTTTTCAATGTGGTTTGGTGAACTCAGGCGAAATGGGTTCACACAAAGCCCAGGCTCATCACTAATGAGAGGCACATGTGGCTTCCAAAGAACTGGTTGGGAACCATTGCTCTTGCCTACAGTTTAGCTATTAACATTTGGGACTGGCTCATACATTGTATTGTGAAGCTGCTTATGCATTGAGAGTTCAGGTGGCCATTGATAATACTGGCCAAAACTGACAGATACAGGTGATCCTGTACCACCCGCAGATAATCGCATGAAGAGTATCCCAGATACTGATCTGTGTTTGGAACGTCAGCAGTAGTCTAATCACTGGCTGGTATCTGACAAGAAAGCTTTAATGCCCCTTTCTGGTGGCTCTGTGATAGAAGATTACTGTAAGAGTTGACTCAGACAACTTCATAAGCTCTGTACATCAATAAACAAAAATCTTGTCAGTTTCTAAAGAAAATAAATTGGTCCTATTTGCAGACATTGCTGATGACCTGTTTATGTGCCAATACATTTTCTTTCCGACTGACATTAAAAGATGCAGTAATACTAAACTTTTAATAAATTAATAACGGAGAGGTACAACATAGTCTGCATAAAGGACTCTGCTGGGAATGTACAGTATGTGCAATGTGATTTTCTGAAGAGCTTTCACGTGAGAGAGGGAGCAATACAGAGTTAAAACAGTCTCTTTAGTCAGGTAATGTCAGATGGACTAGCAAGAGGAATGACATGGGACACTTTCATGATCTTCTTTTGCCTAAATATACTTTGTAGTTACTAAAGCCAAGGTCCATGAAAAATCACAATTTACATACCACACGGAGTGTGTAAATTATCATTAAAAGCTGGGTGTTAGTTGTGAGTGGCTCCTGGAAAGTATAAAAATCTTATCTTGCACCATGCTGTCTGTTACACATAACGCCAGGCTTCTGGGCCCTATGGGGAGTGAGGGATGCACCTCGAGCAGTGAAGAGTCACCCGTATTGTATCACCTGCCTCTCCTCACTACTTACTTATTCACAATATGTCTTGTATTTTTCTCAAAGAATATAAGGCTTTTGGTGATTGGAGGAGGAGAGGAGGGGGCAGGTATGGCAACATCTCTTCTCCTCCAATCACAGAATGCCTTGTACAAGGCATTTTGTGAATGGGTATGCAATGAGGAAGGGATAGACCTGGAGCACTTCAATGCTCAAGCTGCATCCCTCGCTCCCTGCAGTGCCTGGAAGAGTTATGTGTAGAAGGCATGCGGCAAGGTAATATTTTTATACTAAGCAACCAGGACATAACACTTTAAAAAAAAAAAAAAATATTTACACACCCAGTGCAGTGTGTAAAGTATATGTTTTTCCCTGGAGTTTGGCTTTAATTGCCAATATCTTAGCTTACGCTAATATAGATGTGGTACTTTCTGTCATTTTACTACAGATTATGTCACTCTGAAAGTATTCTACAAACTAACTGTGATTCCAGAGTGTGAGCAGGAGTTAAACTTCACATTCTCATACCCTATTCTAGCCAGAAGGAATGGGTCTCCTGTCAGTGAACACTGTGCCAGTTCTGGGATTTGAAACAATGCATGCACATGCTGTGTGAATTAGAGAGTCGTTATTCTCTAATGATATCTGCTTGCAGCCTTATGAATTCAAGCTTTAGGAGATTTGATAGGATTTAGTGCACCATAGCTCAATCTTGGTACATACTGTGACTTTTCTCTTTCTCTTGCTTGGCAGCAGCAGGCAGTGACCCTGACAGGTGGGTGCACAACAGGCCTTAGGCAGGAAAGAGTCACCCGATTACATAACAGTAACCCTTTCCTTGCCAATGTTTGTTTCAGTACTTCCATTCACTCCACTACTGGAACCATTTTTCAGTTTAAAGAAGGGCTGTCATCAATTGTTTTTTTTAGAGCTTAGTCAATGCATGATGTAACTCAGCATTCTTATCAACCTACATATCATGCCAGACTCATCACAGAAAGACCATCTGCTCCCTTGTTTTACTTTTCCAGCAGCTCCTTGTTAATATGTATGCTATGCAGGTAAAAATAAAGACACATTCTGGATAAATGTTTGGAGTGAAAAGAGAAAATTAGCATTAAAACTTTAATGAGTAAAAAATTTAATTACAGCATATTATACTAATTAAACATTAAATCTTTATTTTGTAACCAAAGTAAAAAAAAAAAAGCATTTTAGTTTTTAGTGCCCATTTTATGACCATATCAGTATTTTTGTTGCTGAATGTGAAAAAATACAAGGCAATTACATTTGTAGTTCGTCTTCACCACCTTAAAATTTCACTACTTTTCATCTGTTTTTTGTTTGTTTTTGTCACCAGGAAACAGGTAGGAAAGTAGCAAAAAAACATTTCATAATGTAGTGGGTTAGGCTACAGTCCCCAACAGATTTTATTGCTGTCTGTGACTGGGCCCATAGGAGATTTTACCACAGTTCCCATCTGGGTGACAATGTTGTTACCCATAGAGGAAAAGTGGGGAAATCTCACCAGCTAATCCTTACACAGTAATAAAACAGACACATTTGTTTCTTAGAAATGAAGGTTCTAAGTCTTGTTGAACCTTTTAATACTGTAAGTCTACCAAACATGGCCAATTTGTTTGAAAGCAAGAGACTCATTAGTCTCCACAACATATGAAACATTAATAAGCTCTGCACCATAGATGATCTGGTCTAGCCTGCCAAGGCTTTACATCATATAAGTGAAATCATCATCGGTATCTTATGGTCATGGCATGCAAGTATTTCTTTTTACCATAAATAATGCAATTTAGTAATGCTGGCATGTTCCATTTTGATTTATGTGAAGTGTTTATTGTAATGACATGTACACTTTCATAGGTGTGCGCACAGTGTGTTGGGTGTGCCTGGCCCCCTAATCACCCCCAGCCAGGAGCGGATTAACATTTACATATGAATGGACTGCGCTTTTTTACAAATGACTAAGTCGTGATTCATTCATATGTAAATAGTGCACTTAATTCATATGCAAACTATGTCCTATGCCCTACATTGTAGAATGTGGTACAGTCCAGGATTCTAGCAGTGTCTTCATTAGTGACCGCTATGTTCACCCTGATGAACGGACCCTGCGTGGTCCCGAAATGTTGGCTTTGTAATGCATGTGACACGATTCTTCAATAAATGAACGTGAGGATTTAAGCTCATCGTTTGAATGCTGGTGATTTTAATTGCTATCAACTGTGATTAGAACACCTGTCAGGTTTTTATTGCTGTCTGTGTCCCTCTTCTGGTGACCCTGCCAACCACCAGAGACTTCCCTCACATTGGAGGGATTTCTTCTCACTTTCTATTGTGTCTATGGACAGGAAGTGAAGGGAAATCCCCCCAATGGGACACAGATGGCAAATAAAAGCTGACAGGTGTTTAGAACCCTCCCTATTCTATCCAAAACTAACAACAAAGTTTTTGCTTCAGTTCTACTTTAGACCTTCCTTGAAGCCTAAAATGAATTATAACACAAACAAGGTAAAAATGTAATTAATACACTTATCCCCATTGTTAGGGTTGTTGTGTGACACTGCAGCTGTCACACGTTGGCTCTATAGATCAAGAACTGAGCGATCACAAACCACTGATCATCAGTTCTTGATCTTCTCCCTGCAGGGATTCCCCCCTCCCCTCTCTCTTCCTCCAGCGCTGACTGGACGGTCAGACAGGGCAGAGTGCGGGCTTAGCTGTCAATTAGGTAGCGGGATGGATCTTTCCCGGCTGCAGCGTGGTTCTGCACTGTCGGCATATATCAGGCAACAACCCTGCTATATGCTGAATTTTGGGTCACAGAAGGACATTAGTAAATGTCCTCCTGTGACCCAAAAGAGAACTAACCCCCAAAAAGGTTTGGACCATAGTACTCTTTTAACAAAGAAAGACACATCACATTTTAAGAGCCCAGGTTACTGGTAGATAACAGGATATCACAACTGCATTAAAATACATCCTGCTACTCTACCTCCTCCAAGTGCTACAAGGGATCATTTAGGTCCCACTGACAGTGATCATTGCTGAGATCCTGCTGTCAGCAATCCTCACTGAGTAGTCAGCTTATGCTGAAGCCGAAGAAGCAATGTGGAATCTTACTGCATTAGGAGGAAAGCATCCATTAAAGCACAGGCTGTCTAAGCCTGTGCACAGACAGAAGTGCAAACTGCTCATGCACAGTCAGAGATACAAATTGTCCAAGCTTGTGCACAGGCAGAGGCACAAGCTGCCCAGGT